ACTTTCACAACGAAGCACACAGCACCTTCACGACATGGCGGCGGCGGCAACAATACTACAGCGAGAATAAAAGTTATGCCTTCTTTCTTTGCGTGAACATTTGGGCGGTGTTATGCAAATCTTCCCACATCGTGATGTAGACATGTGGGGGCGTGTTAGAACGAGCTGTTTTAGGTAGGCGTGGTTGACTCTTAACTTTTATAAAGAATATCTCTTTGGATTTGAGACTTTAGTCTTTGCAACTTTACAGATCTTATTTATGCACCAAGAGCTTGTAACACTCCAAAGAGAAAGGAAAAATTTAAATCGCATCATATGACCCCTTTAATATAACTCCGATTGAATTCATCTGAAAGAAGGAAGTCATATACGCCTAGGATGGCTTGAGGGTGAGTAAATAATGGGCTAATTTTCATTTTTGGGTTTACTATCCCTTTAAGGACACGTCCCAAATACTTTCAAGCTAACAATTATCAAAGCCCTCATCAAAAAAAACAAACAAACAAAAAACAAAACCAATTTGACCCAGAAGAATTGGGGCTGTATTCAACAAGAATTTTATTTTATTTTATTAAGATAAGTTGCTCCTGAATTTCTGCATTAGGCACATTTAGCCTATTTTTTTTGTGTGAATGTGCTATAGACCGATCTCAGATCTATCATTTATGTCCAAAACATTAGAAAAATAGTGTCCTCTTAACAAATGTTCAGTTTTGCTGAGAAACAGTATGGAGAATTGTGAAGAATTTCAGGAATTACCGTAAGTCACATCGTAGAGCTGAAACTGTACTGAAAAGTTACAAGTTTTCTTTTGACAACATAGACTTTGACATTCTCTTGGATAGCTTGAGAATTATGTTGCCATTTGTGGACAAGCATTAACACATTCAGGTCCAAGCTATTCAACCATTACAACTTTGTTTGTATGAAGAGACACCTCATCAGACACAATTTTGGAGTGGCACAGGGCTCAGTATTAGGTCCTTTGCTTTTCTCTTGGTATATGTTTACTATTAGTTTCCACTGTTATGACAATGATATTCTGTTTTATATTTCCTTACAACCTGACAAAACTCTCAAGTTGGCAGAGTATTTTGATGATAGCAAAGACAGAAGGGATGGTAATTTTTTAACCTGTAACATTTCTAGGTGGAAGAAGAGTCTAGTTGGTTCAAAATGCAACAGCTAGAGAGCTTAATAGATCCAAGCAATATAATCATATAAGCCCAATTTTATCAACACTAAAGTGACTGCATGTTGGGTTTAATATCAACTGTTATGTATTATAATATTTAAACATAAATATGAAACTAAAACTTTCTTTAATGGCTACAACGTTTACCTTCTATGATCCAACAGCATCTTTCAAATTCAAATGAAGCTGTCAAAATTATGTGAATGTCAGTGTATATATTTCGTCTCACATAACAGTGAAAATAAGTTTCCAATAAAATATGATACAACATACGAAGTAGTTTATATGTAAATAACATTTAAAACAGCATTTGCAATTAGAGAAATAAACAAAATATTTTTATATTTTATTATCATTGTTGTTTTTTGGCATGCACAACAGCATAGTAGGTATTTTTATATGTAAATAAAATTTAGAATTTGCAATTATTGAGAAATAAATATATATATATAAATTATTATTTATTTTTTTTGGCATGCACAACACAGAGTGATGAGGTGAAGTCTGCCGTTTAGATCATGTTTATGTTAAAGAACTGCTAAAAGTAATTTATTTACATAATGTTTTCTCTCTTAAAAAGTAAAAAAGTGTAAGTGCTATAAATGAGCTTACTGATGCAATTCAATAAATCTCCTGTTTCATTCCAATCATTACTCCTGGTCAGAGGCTTCTGTTAATGTTGTAAAGTTTTCTATGTAGAGTTACGTTTCAACTAATTTTAATGGTGCAACACAAAAATATTTAGTAACGCATATTTTGTAACACATGTCCATAGGCTGGTCATGTCATCTCAACATGTCTGTCCACATGTGCGACCCACTCCATATCACATAAAACCACTTATTTTTGGCCACTCATGTGACATTCTTCAAAAGTAGTATTCAATTCTGTAGAGGTCGACATTTTAAAAAGGGTCAAATGACTGAGTTCAGCTTGAGAATGAAAACCAACCTGTTTGTTCCTCAGTATCTTCATGTTTCACTCTGAATGCTTCTTCAATCTTCACATCTTCACTCTCCTCTTTAATAAACGCCATCTTTATAACATTCACATGGATCTCAGTTGCTTCACTAGGCGTTCTTCTGCATCTTTGGGCACTGTGTAATGTTTGGCATGAAAATAATGAAGAGAAAGAAAAACTTTCATGAAAACATTTGCAGATTTGGACGTAAAAGTCTCTTATTATTATTATTAGTTTAACGGCAGTTGGCATTCAGATTATAGGTGCATTACCACCCCCTTCTGCTCCGGAGTGTGGATCAGGTAATTGGTTAAAATAAAACTTGATCTGTTCTCTCTTTTTGTGCATTTAACACAAAAATTCCCTCTTTAACATTTCTTTGAATTTGGTATAACTGTCTCCCTTTCTCCTCTCTATCCCACCTCTCTTGCCACCTTTCATTGATTTTCTCCCATATTAAGCATTTAACCTCTGCTTTACTTATAAGACCTTGCACTTCTACGTTCTCTTTTGTGAGTGCCCTTTTAGCCAGCCTATCCGCCATTTCATTAACCCTAATCCCAACTGTGCTGGGACCCACATAAAACTTACTTGGCATCCCTTATTTACTTTTCTTGTGTTTAACTGAAGCATTTCATACAGAATTTCTTGCCGAGTTTTTGAGTGAAATTACCTTAAACTTGCTAAAACTGATAAAGAGTCAGAGCATATCAAAACGTCTCCCTGTCCTACCTTTTCCACCCAATGCAATGCAGTTAATATCTCTACACACCCCTAATTTATTAGAAGTTCTTTTATCAATTTATATTTACTTTCCTGGAATTGCCACCCCAAACGGTTGTGGCTAGAAGGGATACAGCAAAAACCGGAAGCTAGGGTTGCACGATTAATCTAAATTAAATCGCAAAGGCAATAAATCGTGATTAGGCAGAAGCTGCGATTGTGATGCATATCTTTCAGTGAAGCACGGTTCTATGATCAGCAGTAAATCTCCATCCGAAGACCAGAGGGCGCTCTCGTGCTGAAACTACAAATACGACCCGCAGAAGAAACCCAGGAAATGCCTATAGCGGTTGCTGAATAAACAGAAGATTTAACTGCTTTCATTAATTCACCGTGACTAATACGACAATATATGGTTTATCCGAGTTCGTCGTCTTATAATTTTTATTATAATAAACAAGCACGTGCACACATAGACATCAAAGGGGGCTTGAGCACCTGCCCTTTTTCTTCCTCAAGAGAAAGTGCCCTTTTTTTTTTTTATATGCTAAATAAATATATATATATATATATATATATATATATAT